TCCCATTTATAAATTCTTCCCAACTGCTCCGTAGATCGAATAAAATACGTATATACTAATTAAGTGGAATCAATGAATTAATTAATTGCTCTAATAATTTTTTAATCATGTTAATCTTTAAGTGATGGAGCCGCGACACGTGTCACCCATGCAAGAGCATGTCGGCCTGCGGTTGACTCACCCACCGTGCCGTGCGTATTATTAATTTAAAAAGTATCTGAAGCGAAGCATAATAAGTTACCAAAATTACTTTTTTATTTTTAAGGAAAAAAATAATCAAATCTCTTTAAACTATTTATTAAAATTTACGTGAGAGTATTATAAGGGGTGGGTAATCACCGTACGCAAACTTGGTGATATCATACCCGTGGGGGTTAAAAGCGTGGGCCACAGACCAATGAATGGCCGCCAATTGGACGCCAAAAAGGCAAAGGGCGGCATATTTTAACACTTGTTTTAATTGCAAATATGAACCCATAATTCATAATTCTGTGATTGAAGGGGAAAAATAAAAAAATTGACCAACAAAAAAACTAAAATAAAAATAAAAGGGTAATGCTCGTCAATTTTTTATTGTATTAATTTTGGTCAATTTAAGTGGTTTTAATCTTCTACTTTTAGTAAATTTCAATAGATTTGGTTAACCTTTTTTATTGAAAGGTTCATTTTTTTTGCCTTGGTTTTTAATTTATCTTAATAAGTCAATTCAACCTTACGAAAACCTATCCTTATCAATCTTTTGCTTAACCTCTTGGGAATTGTTTGGCCCATGAGCTCCAAAATTGTGAATATAAATCAATATTAAGATTATCTCACACTACGAGTTTAATCATTTCGCAAGCTACTTAAACCCAACTTTTATCACGAGTTATATAAACTCAATCCAAATACTTGTTTAATTCCCAAGGTTTTGAGTTCAAAAACACTATCGAGAGAATGGAATGGAGGGATCTGAATAAAAACCGTTTGAAAGGACAACTAGAAATCATTCTCCGTAAGAGAGCGCTATAAAGAAAAATAAAAACATAGTCAATACAAAAGGCGGGTTTTTTTTTTTTTTGAAAAAATAATAAAATGGTGGGCTTGGAATTTCTTGTGATGGAAGGTTAGAATCATCAGCAAAGGCTGTTGAAGTTCTTCACGTCACCTTTTTATGAACAAATTTCATTGTCAAGACAGAGAGAAAAAAGAAGGCAAATAATAATAATAAAGTAATTGGGTTGGGTTGTGGATTGCTGACTTGGGGTTTCTCATTTGTCAATCACGTGGGCAGCACGTCATGGTAGACCACAAAACTCACAGCTCCAACTTTTGATTTTTTTAATTGTGTAGGCCAAACTGATAAGGTCAACAACATTTAAAAGAAAAATGCAACCAAAAGGCAACAAGGGAGGGAAGGGCAGTTTAGGAATTATGAAGAAGAATGACCTATCAAAGAAGGAATTTTCTTTGGTGAATAATGTGATGTAAGTTGACCAGTTCTTGAGGCAACCACTGTTACAAGCTGTTTGTTTTGGACAAACATTAAATAACAGAGGTTGCTTTGCATCCCTGCAACAGAGACATCTATCTGTTCCTCATTCTCTGCTAAACAAAATCATCTTATGCAAATAATAATAATAAAGAAAATTCTCATGGGTGGGGTCTCCACTGGAACAATAAGGATTCCTTCCATGTCTCATACTTCTCCATTTCAATGGTTAGTAAATTCCTGACATTCTTAGACCTTTCTTTCTGCCAACAACTTTCAAGAAATATTGCAATATTCGAGTTATATGAGAACATGGCAGAGATGAAAGGTAATACCTGCACAAAATGCCCACTTCTCACTCCCAGCAGTTATGGAACCGAAAGCGATTGCTGCAAAAGAGGAAAAATTGTTAAACGTGGCAACCAGGGTGAGACTTGCTCTAATAATCGTTGAATGCAGATTCGAAATCTACACGCTTCCCCAAAACTGTTGGATACATGTTCTACCAGCTACATTGTTACAACCTTCTCTAATAAATTCTCTTAGACTTGGGGTCTGGATAGCTCAGCCTAATACACAAAGTGAATGAAGAGAGATCTCTCCATGATGATGGAGGGCAACCCTACCCATACCCTATTTTACCATTGGGAGCGCTATCTTAGCTTATGATACAAGTTGAGCATTTAAGTTTTGAACTGTACAAACAAGTTTGTCCAGAAAATTTAGAAACTGCGCTCGCCTTTTGCAACAAGTGAAGGTATAATGTTGAGGTCTGAAAACAAACAGACTAACCAAGGAAAATATCTGCAGAAATTTCTACTGAATAAATCAGAGCTGTATGCAAAGAGCAGATCAGTCCCACTCAATACAATAACTCGAATTTTTCAACTCGATTAAATAATTTCGGTTCTCGTTTTCATCCGACTTCTTTTCCCTGATATGAATTTGGATAACACAATACATACCATATTCATATTTTCTGCCAATCCAACATAAAGGAGTAACCATTCCAACAAAGGTTCACATATAGTTCCTTCAACCTTCCAACAAGAAGAATTCTGATCATACCAAATCCATCTCATGTTTTTAAGTGTTGTGACCAGTTAAAAATACAATACAGGAACACTACTACAGATTATGAACTTTCTCTTGTAAGGCTTGCCTTTACCCGTTCAGATATTTTCAGCACCAAATTTCAAGAGTGAGTTTGCTCAGAAAGCAAATTAGATCAAATAACATACAAGAGGGAGCTAAGGACTATGAAAAACTAATCATGTTAGATCAAATGACAAAAACAAACAAAAATGATGTGAATCTCAAGGTCAGTAATCCACACTAGTGTATTGTCATCAAGGATGGAAACTTTTGAACACTTCTATCTACTTAATGTTTACTCTTCCCTTCTAGAAGAAGGCCCAAAAAAATGGGAAAATTTGTCACTGCAATGCCAGAGTCGCCAATCTTTCGGATCCCTATGGTGTTCTTACTTATTTTCTCCAACTTGGCTACTTGTGCTGTCTTTGCTGATACCTCCTGAAGATTTAGGAGGAGGTGGCTCAGAACATGCCCTCAGAACAGCCTCGTTCTGGTGAAAAGAAATACACATTTAGAATGCGTTATACAGAAATTCAACAAAATAGAAAAAGGTAGAGAAAATGCAATGACTCTAGAATGAACCATCTATAGAAGGATGTATTTGATAAGTATAATTTATACAAGTCAACTAAACATGAACCTAACAGCCAAATAACACATTTTGCATCATAACTATGACCAAACAAATGACTCCAACATATTATTAGAAAGATAGAATCCACACATGAAGAGTAAAATTAAGACTACAAAATTTCTTTTTTAGCATATAAATTTGACACTTTTAACAGGGTAAATCAATTAAATAAAAAATATTTAATTAAACCTCTTAGTCACTATGTCAAGACTTGTAGAATGGTATAGCTTATGCCTTAATTTATAATGCAATTCTAATAGCTAAATAGTAAATATCTAAGCTGACCCTTGCAATTTTTATTTCATTGAATACACATTCCACTTTCCCACAAGTAAGAGAATCAGCCTGGGCTTTGAATTCCATTCACCGAAGCAGAAAAGCCTTTTTTCCTTCCATTTGTTTATATGAGACAATTAATTATTAAATGAACGGCAGAATGAAAAGGAAAAGGGGAGAAAGCCCACACTAGGAAAGTTACCTCAGGTAGGAGCTACAGAACGAAGATTTTGCCAAAAAAGAATCAAAGATCTACTGTTATTTTTTCGAAGATCTACTGTTAAAAATCAAAGATCTTCTTTTTTAAAGGGGCAACCGTCGAAGATAAGAGAAAGGTTGCCTTCGAAGTCATTTAGAAGAGAACTGGCCCAACTGGAAGTGCTGAAGCCAGTTTTCCAGAAATTCCAAGAATATGGGCAAGTTAAGAATACGTGTTATTCAGATTCAGAGCACGCAAGAGAGAAATATGCTGGTGAGGGAGATCCATTCCTATGCCTCTAAGTTATAAATATTTCTTCTAGGATTGAGGTTCTATCCCTCCTTGGAGGTGGTCCACATATGGGCTGATGATGAGAGATTGTTGCCATTGGAGAGAAGGTAAAGTCTGGGGAGGACAGCCGAGAGAGGGGAGGAAATCTTCAAGGGCATCCAAAAATCTTATTTCACTGTTGTTGCCCACTATGAAAGAAACATTCTGGAAGAAAACATCTTGCGCTCTCCAAGAAAATTCCAAGAGCCTCTGTGCTTCCAAAAGGAGGAATGAGTTTTACTTTCTAGCAATGGTTTCGTGCCATAGATATATTATTTTCCAAAGGAAACCTCCACAGCCATTTTGAAAGGAGGGCAATGAACTTTTGTAATTTCATATTATCAGTGAAATTATTTCTTTCACAAAAAACAAAGAAAAAAAAGGAAAGGAGGGCAATGTTCTGGTTTCCAATATTACCAATGCCTAGGTTCCCTTAAGCATGATTCGGAGTAACATTGCTCCAAAAAACAAGATGGGAACCTCCATTCAATGCTCCTTCCCAAAAGAAATTCCTTAAAATCGTCTAAATGTTGTTCACCACCAATTTTGGCATTCTAAAGAGGAACATCTATGTTAGTATTAATATGAAAATATAGGGAAATATCGGGAATGTTATTAGGATATTAATGGTGGTATAGTTGTAGTTACTTGGTAGTTTGTACGGAAAAAAATTGGTTATAAATAGAGGGCGTAGGAGCTTAGAGGACATGCATAATTTTTGGAAATCAGTCCATAGTGGATTGTGGAGAGAGATAGTCTTCTTGAAAGATTATTGTTGTTGTAGTTTTCTCTTTGATGTTGCAATATAATTCCAAAGTCATTCATTTTCTTATTACTGGATCCTAACAATCTAGTAAGTTGGAAGGCTTGCAAGGACAACTTGGATGAGGATGACACTACCACCCCTCGGGTAGGGGAGTTCTTTTCCATCTATCTAGCTTGCTAGAAATTCTTTCAACAATCAAGATCCAAAAAGAGGCTTCTTGGGGTTTCCATAAAGAGGTACTGAAGAGGTACTAAGCTAAAAGTAGGTAGAAGACCAAACGCTCTAGATACGATTTTAGGCCATTTATACATAGGAGCTTTTTTTGGATGGGACACTGTTTGGGACTAATACCCTACATCATTTCTAGATATAACAACAAAGTTATTGAAAATTTTCCTTTCATTTGTGGTGCTACAGAAATTTGTGGACAGTTCCGTGATCTGTATGAAGCCTAAAAGCTTAAAAGCAGTCCGACCATTTATTCTTAATTATTTGTACCATAGGTGAATTACTTGAGCAGAGAATAACCATGAGACCTATCTAATGCACTAAAAACAATGGGAAATGATGTCAAAATGCAAAAGTACTGCAGAAATAACTTAAACAAATTTCTCAACAAAATGGAAATCACCAATCTCACTGTTAACCATTTTAAGAATGATTAACATGGTTGACCTTTTTTACATTACAACAGAAGTCCATTCCAGTGCATAAACAGAATCAAGCAGGAGAATCTCCTTCCCTGGCTACCCATGTGTTTGCCTCGCTTTGGAAAGTCAATATAGCAAAGAAGATTAAGTTTTTCATGTGGCATATCTTACTTGGGAGAATCAATACCCTGGATCGTATCTAGAAGCATTCTTCTTCCTGTTTGTATCCGCAATGGTGTGTTCTTTGTCAATGTTTTAAAAGGCTTTTGAGGCTTACGCCTTGAGGCCCGTCTCGAGGCAAGGCTCTAACTTTTAGCCTCAAGTCTTACGCCTTCTTTGGACTATAAGAGGCTTACGCCTCGCATAGAAGAGGCTTACACCTCTTTGAAAACGCACTGAGGCTTAAAGTATACGCCTCGTGTAATAATTACAATACTATTAATTTTTCCAATTCTTAAAAAATATCAAAGTTTTTTTTGTATGGAATCCTAAGCAGGAGTTGTAACAATTCAATCTATTACTACTTTTACTACCTAGACTTTAAAAATAAAAAATATTGAAGACAATAATTTATAGAATAAGTAAGTTCTATTGGTGATAATAGTAGTGATGTTATGATGTTTTTTTAGAATTTTTTAGTAGTGATGTTACGATGTTTTTTTAGAATTTTTTTTTGAGTGACAAGTAACAGGTAGATATTTTGATAATTTTATATAACTATTATGTTTGGTAATACTTGACCACACAAATTTAGGATTCGTTTAGTTCTTTTAATTAAAATTGAGGTTTACGCCTCATACCGCCTTGAGGCTTACGCCTTGCCTTTTCAAGAGAAAAAGCTTCGAGGCCGCCTTTAGCCTTTTAAAACATTGTTCTTTGTAAACAAGACTCTGAGAGTCTTGATCACATGTTATGGCATTGCATTTTTGCCTAGAAGATTTGGAGTCAGTTATTTGAGATGTTCGAAGCTTCTTGGGCTTGCATAGAGATTGGGGGGCTATGGTGGAGGAAGTGCTCTCAGCTTCTCCTTTTTGTGAGCAAGAAAGAAAGCAACCTGCCAAAGAAACATCTCTCTATCACTAAAGGGAGTGGAGAAAAACTTTGTCCATCATAATCTTGCACAAACTACTGCAAGCCATCTAAATACCAAAAGTCCCCAGGAATCTGACCCAAAATCTTTGAAGTATACTAGCAATCCTACAAAATATGATCTAGACTTTCCACACCACAGCCTTCTTACACAATCTACACCACTAAGACCCTAGCTGCCTAGTAGAACAAAAGATGACCTCTACATATGGTGTTAATCCTTCCATGGGAGATCTGCTGGGCAAAAACATTTAACCTTCTTGAGAATTTGTACCTTCCAAAGCAAGGAGAATATAAACCCACTCGGGAGACCCTGACACGAGAATTTCCTAGATGGGCTAGGAGACCAAAAACAAATATCTCTAACTCTTGAACGAGGATAGAAATTAGCCAGAAAAGGAGCAAAGAGACATCCGAAGACTCTTGATCAGACAATGGTCGGCCAAACCCAAAGTTAAACGATAAGAATTCCCCAGAGCAAACAAGGATAGATGCTAAGAAAGTGGAAGCACAAGAGGCTATCCCCCAATCAACAATTCTTCTAGAAGAAAATCAACGACCCATCCCCAACAATGAACCTAACAAAGATAGAAAATTCTGTGTATCCCAATGCAACAGATCTACACGAGTCAATGGTTGATGACCTGATCCAAAAAATGGTCGAGGTTGAGAAAATCGAAATCCAAGCAAGACAATCCCCGGTGGAAGATTTCGGCTTGGACCAATCATTCAAGGACCCCTGTCCAGGCGCTCTATTTTTGAGCAACCCTTTTTTTCAGTTGGGCCTATACAATTGCCCTAATGCAGGCTATATCCCTTCCCATGGAGGTAGATCGAGATCAATGTCCCACCGAGGAAAGGTACCTTTGATCCTAGAATTAGAAATACAATTAGAAGGAATAGAACCATACTTGCCACAGAGCATGGATTTCCAAGATCCAATATTATGTGTATTGTATGGTTCAAGGTTTTCATCTTGTTCTTTTTTCTATCCTTTATATCTAACCCACCAAAGTTCTACTCCTTAAACCAACTCAGAGCAAGGTATTGTTCGAGTATTTCCACACAAAACTCCAAAGTTCTTTGTAGCATAGATTCTGACAGAATTTTTTCTAAATAGATATGAAGCACCAATTCATGGAATGGAAAAGAGTAGTAACGCGAGTAATAGAAGAAGAGAGATAGAGAACCTGCCAAACACGAAGAAGCCTTTTTTTGGCATTGGCTTTACGGGTGGTTGTGAGCTTAATTCTCTTCCAGACTAAACCTCCAGAGTCGTGCTTCTTCACAATCTCCAAGACCCGAGTCCCCCAAAATGCACCCGCCATCTCCCTCGCTATGCCGCTGCTTGATTCGGAGCGTGGCAGTCGCAGAAGCTTTATGCTTTGCTAACCAAATTGGCCCAAATATATATCTAGTTCTTACATAGAGAGAGAGAAGAGGGTTAGAGAGAGTGGGAGATAAAAGACAGGGTTTAGAAGAGAAAAACGAGAAAATGGAAGTGGGCGATCGCATAAGTAGCGAATTAGGGGAAGAAGAGACGAAGGATTTTGGAGAGAAGAGATACCCACATGGAATTAGTCGCCGGAATTTGTGAATATGTGTTGTGCGGGGTGACTGCGAGCGAGTCGCCGGAGAGGGCTGGGCTGCGGTACCCTGGTGGCGGCGGCGGAGACCTAAAATGAATGCAGTCTTCAACTAAGAATAAAACCAAGGAGTAAACCAGAGGCGGAAAAATAAAAACATCTTGAAAATGTGTTTGTCTTGTCGGTTCCATCATATCGGGTCGCCCCAAACCGATATATCGAACTGATTTTGGTCGGATTCAGTGAGAAAATAACTCGAATCGGACCGTGGACCGATCAGACCGTTAAATTAGATTCGCTTTACTCGGTTCGGTTATGTAGGTTTTCTCAGTTTCGACTTGTGCCCATAGAGAAAATAGGGAAAAAGTAGTAGGTTGGATGATTTGCGAGGTTTAACAACACGATGACGATGAGAATTAAATTGAAACTAAAACTTAAAACATATTAAATTGAAACTTAGGTAGATTTGTGAGCTTAGTTTTTTTTTTATTATTCAAGCCAACTTACGGCAACTCAGCTGATCTCACAGAATAGTTGTTTGATCCTACAACATTTGGTGTCGGAAAACATATAGGAATTAATTCATATAATAGGTGGTGTTGATGCTGGAAATTTGGTCTCCTTGGTTCTCACCAAATGTGCACAAGCTCGACAATCACGGGACCGTATACCTGCAAAACCAAACAACCCTAATCCAGTATGACTTTACTGGCTCCGATACTTAAGTCAGTGATGAGAGAATTACTAAGTGAAGTACTTAGGGTTTATTTGCTTACCTCTCGTCACTGGATCACAAGGATTCATGTATGGACCTAGGCACCTCAACCAATGGGAGATGAGAGAATGTGGGCTCAGCCAATGGGCCAAGCCCTGGTTGGCGTCGAGTTGGGGTCGAGACCGAGCCCCGACTCACTCGGTCTATCGTTGAGTTTGGGCCTCTCTGGTCTATAGAGGCCCATTTCCTTGACCCTCTCTCAATTTACCCTAATCTCTCTTAACCAATGGATCACCACCATGATAGTTAGATTTGTGACATTAGTTAGTGTTTTTTATTTTTCTTTTTCTTTTTGTGGTGCTTTGGTATTTACTTATGTTGGGATTTTGATTTTGAGGTAGGTTTATATTATAACTTATTTCGAAAGGGTGGAATAGGGGTAGATTGTGACTTTAGTCTTGAGCTTTGTATATTGTATTGTTGTTTTGTTTATGTTTGAGATTTTGATTTTTTTTTTTTCATAAATATGCTTAGAATTATTATGTTTTATATGGTGGGATGGGGTGGGGTAGATTGTGACTTCAGTCTTTAGTTTGATGTGTTGTGTTTAAGATTATAATTTATTTTGAAATGGTAGGAGGTATAGATTGTGACTTTAATTTGAGATTTTGATTTTGACGTATGTTCCATATTGTTATTAAGTTTGAGATTAGGGTGGGGATGGGAGTAGTTATTACCTTTTTTATGTTAGACTTATGTTTGAGATTGGGACTTATGGTAACTTTAGTCTTTGAGATTGGTGTTATGATTTTTATAGTTGAGATTGGGGTTATGATTGTGACTTTAAACATTAGTTTGGTGTATTCTAGTTGTAAATTATGTTTGAGATATAGATTTGACTTATTTCGGGGAGAAAGGAAAAGGGTGGAAGTTCTTGTTGGTACTGGAAGAGAATTTGGATGAAAATAATTTTTGTTGTGCCATGGAAGAAATCTACCGCCTTGATAGCAATTTCGGCATGACCACAATGCTAAATCGTTTCCTATTGGTTGCTCCCAACATTAATACAGCTTCTTACTCAAGCGTACACTTGTCGGAGATGAATGAAATGAAAAACGAGCTCAGAATATTTTTTGCAAAATCTCATGGAGTAAAAAACGTATTTGAATAATCCTCCCACTTCTAAATCTATAGTTACTTTGCTTTACTTTTTTTTTGTTTGTACAACACGTGGGGTAGGAGATATATGTCAATTATCAATGAACTATTTTCATTTTGGTAGTTACTTTGCTTTACTTAAACAATAAATTGAAGGTGAAAAACATTTTTCTTTTTGACATTTCCAACAGTTCTTACATTATTAATCATGCGTTGTCTAAAATTGAAGGTAAAAAAATTTTCTTTCGACATTTTTCCAACCGTTCTTATGTTATTAATCATGTGTTGTGGCACGTTTTAACTTCGTGATTGAAATTGTGACTTGTATATGTTTGAGGAGAGAGAGTGTGGGGTGGGGGTTCATTCACATTTTGTTTGTGACTTACCATGTAGAAATAGTTTGATTCGTGACTTAGCATGTAAAAATATTTTAGTTTTTGACTTATCGTGTAAAAAATGGTTTGGTTTGTGATTTGTCATGCAAAATAGTTTTTTTTTTTTTTTTATTGTACTACCCTCGTAATTAAATACATGTATGTTACCAAAATAAGGGGTATAAATGTAACTAAGAGGGTGGGCTTTGATTTTAAAAACAAAACTAAGTTTAAGTTGCAAAGATTATGCAATAAAAATCATTAAAAGTGTATTTAGGAGTGATGGTAGAATGAGTGATTTTGAAAAAATAGATTTATGTATAATTGATTTTCTTAAATCATCATTTAAAGTGATACCTTAAGAATTATTAAGATACTTAAGATGTGTTTGGGAGTGATTTTGAAAATACCAAAATTACTTCTATCACTGTGAAAATCATTTCTCTTCCCATTAATTATGTTTGAGAAATTAAATATTTGATTTTAAGAAATCTTAAAATCACTTTAAATTGATTTTTAAGGTATCACTTCCGTGGTTATTTTGGAAAATCAATTATACTTACAAAAAGATTTTCAAAACCACTCAATCTACCATCACTCCCAAACACACCCATAATTAGTTACTTAGTCATTGGTTGGTTGTACCATTGATAACTAATTATTTTTTGTACTTGCTTGCTTGGTCTATAAGGACCTGACCTGATATACACCAATAAGAAGATAAAAGATAGTTTAATTTACTCTCGCTTAATAAACCTTTCTAAATTCAATTTTTTAATTTGTTAAATATGTTGAATGAAATGGTGTTGATTTTGACAATGACAGCTGTCATGCTAAATCACTCCAAAACACATTCTAAGAGTCACAAATATGGGCTTCTTTAAGTCTGGCAACTCTAATGACGAAGATAAATTGCAATGCACGTATATATTTTCATCGCTACGTGGCGACAGAAAAGTGAAACTAATGCTAGCAACGTTTCATGATATTGTTGTCATAGTTCTACAATGACTGATATCTAACGACTACAATTGTTTTGAAAGAGTTTTCGTCCATTATTGACGGTTTTTAAATTGTTAAAAAGTGATAATTTTGGTAGTAACTCAAACCAAAGTATCTTTCCAACCCTCTAAAAACTGAGGATGAGATAATTTCTATGTTTGGAAAAAAGTATCACCCATGCTTTTTAAAAGTGTATTAAGAGCTATTCTCTTCCTTTCACGTGCAAGATAGGTTATTTGTTATATTTTACAAAATAGTTTTGACCCTTTTTATTGATAATAAGATTCTACACTCTTTTTTAATTGTCTCGTGGGTTTTTTTTTCCCGAAACAGAAACCCTTTCACTAAAAAAAAAAAAAAACAATCTATTATGTGGACCATTTAGTTTGAGCATAGCAACATTATCCATAATAACACATCCAAAATGTACATATTTTTGTCGTTGAGTTTGTTGGGCTAAAGGTATGAAAGCTCACATTAATTTTTCTCAAATTCAACATTTATGTTTTTTAGTACAACAAATGGGATGGAGGATTCGACCTCATGATCTAAATAGGTGTCAATTATCGATGAGTTAAGTTCATGTTAGTCAAATTCAACACTTGTCGATGGATGGAACTGAAATTTTAACATAATTAGGCTCGATGGTTAAAGAGAAATTTTAGAGTACAAAAAAATGGCTAAATTTTCATTTGATTGAGTTGTATGACCTAAAAAATCAACATAACAACTTATTCATACTAAACTAACATAGGCAAAAGACTAATATACCCCCACGAGTGATAAACCTAAATTAAAATGTGAAATAAACATAATTCAATAGATATTAATCTAACATCCCTTGAGTTTGTAAAAAAAAAAAAAAAAAAAACATTAATGCCAACTCTAACTCCGGAATCTCAACTTTTCCTGCTAAGTAATTTCATAGAGATCAATCTCTTATGTGATCACTAAAAAAAATCAATCTAGATCATTACGAATTTCATTGAGAAGTGATAGAGATCGTTGAACCACTCAATAAATCTCTTACCTATAGAAATGTAAGTAATGCTTTGACAAATTTTACGTATACCCTACCCCTGTGGAATTTGATTACTTTATTTTAAAATATCATTTTTAAAATGTTTACGTCAACATTATAATTATTTACTATTTAGTACTATAAATTTGATTGAAAATTTTGTAACATGGTACTCTAGACAAACTTGGATTGAAAAGTTTTGTTACCTATATATTAGTTATATATTTTTTAATATCTGCGAGTAATGGGTCAGCTTGCACACACCTCGACTAATCACACAGGATAACCGCCTGACCTCTGAACTTGGTTGCTGAGGAATTACGTAAGAAATTCATTCTTAGGTAGGTGACCGTCATAGAGTTTTAACTCATTCCTTTTAAAGTCGTTTCTACCAATATTATAACAGATACTTTTAAAAGATCACTAAATTGAAAAATATGTGTTCATCAACGAGAGTACAATGTTTTAGTTCAGCAAGTTCTATCTTCTCTCTTAAGAAGGAAATTCTTTAAAGCCCTAAGGACTCGTTTGGTAACCTCTCTTTTCTGGATCTGTTTCTTCATTTTTAATAAAGAAAAATATAATTGAATAGCGCAACACCCATGAATTTAATGATGATCAAATAATATTTACATTTATGTACTGTAATAAATTGAAAACGGAAACAAGAAATAAGAAGCTTGTTTTTATTGTTTCCAAAATTTCTATAAAATTTTAAGAATGTTTCCAAAAAAAATGAGAACCAAGAAACATATTTAGTTAAACAATGCTTAAATTTCTTAATAAACTTTGGAAACGAAAACAAAAAATGGAAACGTTACCAAACAGACTCTAAACAAAAGCACAAAATATCCCTCTAAACATTGATATTGAGCTATGAGATCAAATCACATTTTTTTAGAAAAAAAATACATCAGATTAATATTAGAATAAGAAAATATCAGTTTAAATAACTACATCGCGGTCAAAGTAAACCTAACCTAGCGGTATATCTTCAACCAAGAGGTTGTGAGTTAGATCTCCTCCCCCAACATGTACTCAAAAAGAAGAGAAAAAAAACTACATCACGGAGCCAACCAAAAAAGTCAAAAGAACACTCTTCACTCACGCCACTGTTCATCACGCTCCTCGCTAACTCGTGGACATTGAGTCTTTCTTGCATAGTTGTTTAGCTCGGTCAAAAAGAAACTCATCGTAAATCTCAACTAGTTGATAATTCGGCATCAATATTACGTTTGAGAGATGTTAAGAGAAACAAAGATATTGTCTAACGGCATAGCCATGGTAATGTTGTTTTTATTCAAATCTTGTCTTACGAGATTTTTTAAGTAAAGATCAAATTGTTACAAATTTTAAACCGTAGAGAATAAATTGTTATCTACTGAGTCTAAAGATTAAATGGTTACCAATTTAAAAATATAGAGATTAATTAAATCATTAGTTCGGTAATTTTTTAACCTGGTAATAAATATAATAATGAACTTTGGGGCAGAACCCTAATTTGGCTCTATCGGAGTGCGTAAGGTCGTTCCATTTCCCTGGGACGGAATATCCAGTTCCAAGTGATGGAGTTCTGTTACATAATTTCTATCTATTCAATTTTAATTTTCGTTTTTTTTTACAGCAATTTTAATTAATTGAACGAGAAAGAAAAGAAAAAAGAATCTTACAAGATTTCAACGTGAAACACGTGTGGCTTTTTGTTCCCGTACTCAAGCGTGCGATCAAAGGCTGGCGTGACTCGTGTCGCGACCAATTAATCCCTTTTCCCCAATAACTAACTGTATAAATTAACGAGTTTTGAGTTAAATTACATTTTCTGTTTCATAATTTTAATATATAGTATATTATATATATGAAATATTAGAGCATTAAATTTTTATCCACATATTATAAATTTAGATTTCCATGTATTAATGAACTTGACATTATAAAAATCAATCGACATTTTCACCAAATTACAGATATATATACAAAATATTACTATGAAGGTAATATTAATATTGGTAAATTTTAATTTATTTGAAAAAATATAAAATATTTATATATTAATTTAAATACATTTGTTATTTTTATAAATATCCCATAAATATTCATGAAGTTGACACTGTTTTTTAATCTGAGTAAAATGGAATTAATACTTTATCGATATTTCTACTAACATTTTTATAAAATTGATGTCTCGATATTTTCATCGACATCGACGCTTAAAACCTTGTGAAATATACGATATACTATAAGAATCTTATAAAAAAAAGAGGACAAGCCTCCTACATTTTTATTTATAATTATATTTTAACATTTTTTTTAGTACAATATGTTAGGGTATGATTCGAACTCACAATTTTTTTATGGAGATACCTATCATAACCAATTGAGTTATGCCTCAAAGTTGGATATACCTTAACATTTATGAAAGTTGCTTTATATACTTTTCTAAACTTATCTATTGTTAGTCTTTTTAATTAACATTTACGAAAACTTTACCCTATTTTTTTCCATAATACAAATGGGGATATAAAAATTTGAATCTTCCACTTAAAAAAAACCTATTATTTCAATTTAAACATAGTTAAATGGACAAGTCACCCATTACCTTTCTTGAGGTAGGAAATGTGTGTAATTTTTTTCTTGAGTTAGGCTAAATTTAGCCACATCTTTATCATTAGAAAAAACTAACACAATCTATTAATTCAAACATCACTTAATAAATAAGATTATAGTTCGACGCTTCATTCTCCAAGTTTTTTTACTTAAAAAAGAAAAAAAAAAGTTCGAGCTCACTAATCAATATTTTTATTAAAAATGGTCCATGTGTTATCAATTGATTTTTTCAAAGGAGGGTAGATTCGAACTTTTAACTTTACATCAGATAAGTAATGTATTAATCAATCGAACTGTATTAATATCGATGATATTAATTGATGTATGATAAGGATCAACTATATGTTAACATGAGCCTGAGTTAATGTACCTATTTTTAACAAAAAGATCGTGAATTTGTATATTTGCCGATGTATTGTATTAAAAAAAGATACAATATGTAATTGTAAATATCTTATGTAAATATAATTGGAATGTTTTAAAATCTTGAAATTAAGACAAACTTTAATTTAAACCATCAAAGAATTATTAAAAAAAAAAAACCCCACAAAACGATAAGACACGCAGCGACGTCAGTGATTGAACAATATCCGACTCCGTCGTCAATTTGGAACTTTGGGTTTTACTTGAGTGGACATGTTACACACGGTTGCTACTGTAACCATCGCCCATTCGAACCGCAGATTTTACATTGGTTTAATAGACAAGATCGTGAACGTTGGATCTGTTGACTAGTGAGAAGTCGTTGGTTCGGGTACACCATATTAACATGTGAGCTGCTCCACCAGAATGTAGACACACCGACTCTCCGTCTCCGTTGCCTCACAGTAGCAGTACTTGGCGGAATTATAATTATTAGAGAATAAAGGGTAATTAAGAAAATTAAAAAAGAATTCCAAAAGTAGAAATTCGAAAAAGAAAAATAAAAAATTTTAATTTTAGGAGAGTTTGGTAAGGTGGTGGTGGCCTGCCGTCTTCAAGTTCGAAGCCCTCCATTTCCCCAAGTCTCCCGTCTGATCGGATCCAACCCTTGCACTGATCTAAACTCCGGCCAGGTCTGGTTCTGATTATTCGCGTATTTTCAATTATTGTTCATGAATCTGATTTTGTTCTAGCTGCCGCTTTCTCCGTTGTGAAGCTTTACGATCTTTTTCAATTGCTTTTAGAATTCAGGTTTTCATTTCTGCTGCATTTGTTGTCTCTGTGACTGCATCTTCTGTATCTGATATTGGTTTTGATTTCTTTCCTCTATTGCTGAAGTAGAAAGTGAAACTGCTTGGAAATTGCGCGTTGGTGAATTTATGTTTGTGTGATATTGTAATGTTTGAAATAGAAGTACGATTTGGATCGTTTCAAATACGTGAGTGTTTGTTTCTGATTTCCGCAGAGCTATCTCTCGCGCGAGAAAAATGTGGGGAATCATTCGGCAAAAAGTCGGCGCTGGAGGCTCCTCCATTCTGGTCCGGTTCAATGCCTTTGGATGAAAAATTACTTTTTTCCATCACACATACGATTATTCTCTGAGGATTTTTATTCTTTCTTTTGTGTGTGTGCGTGTGTCTGTTTTTTTTTTTTCCAGATTTCCGGGCAGTCTTTGCAGCGACTCCGCCCTGCTGCATCAGCATCGAGATACTATTCTTCTGCTGCAAAAGAGGTAATTCAGTGTCTTGTCTTGGGGCTTTCGGTACTTTACCTATTCTTATTCAGTCTTAGCTAGTGTTTTTCATAGTTTCAATATATCGTGTCCTTGTTACTCTTACTTTAGGATCAGGTTTGTTAGTGGCCATGCCTAGTTACTGTATGCTGAAATTTTTTAGAGTAAAATAATATGGTTTCTTGTCATCCAGTATGGTTAAGATTCCTTTTACTTTTGAAGAAATTTGAAAATCATGGGAGTGTTTTTTTTTAAAGAAATAAATTGTTCAGGACCATATTTTTCCTCATGTCATTGTCCAGCGAGTTATTCAGAAATGTATCTTTTAGATCTTCGTGCATAATGCAATTACCTTCCATTTACTTTCTTTTTCATATACAGTAGCATTATAATTTAGGAATGTTTGTCCCTGTTGCTCAATGTTGTTTAAAAGCAAAAGGCTAACTTTTTCACCCTAAATTTCATTCCAAATATGCACAGATGACAGTGAGAGATGCTCTAAACTCCGCACTTGATGAAGAAATGTCCGCTGACCCTAAAGTATTTTTGATGGGTGAAGAGGTGAGGCAGAATAAACATGAGCGTTTCTATTTTTATGTTAAATTGATGTGTCTATCCTTATGGCTTACTTCAAACATTCTAATGCAGGTTGGAGAATATCAGGGTGCATATAAGGTTAGATATGTCGAAGAGATGAGATCTAATACATGTGATTTTTTAATGTTGTATATGTTTATATTGTACTATTTAAATAATTGTTTGCCTTTATCTCCTCTCAAGTAGATAACCAAAGGGCTTTTGGACAAATATGGTCCAGAGAGGGTTCTTGATACCCCAATCACAGAGGTTGTTACTTCACCCCTGAAAATATATTTTTTCCGTCAATTTTATTGATCTAGTTTGAATTTTCACCTCTATGCCCGTGAAATATATGAAAGTAAAAGGATTATATTCTTTCTGACTTCAGTGTTCTCTAAATCTTTGCAGGCTGGGTTTACTGGTATCGGTGTTGGCGCTGCTTATCATGGTCTGAAGCCTGTTGTGGAGTTTATGACATTTAATTTCTCTATGCAGGTTATATGACTATTCTAAATACAACTCCATGTCATATTAGTGTTGTGTGCTTGTACTAGCTAGCTTTAAAAACTTTATATTGAAACTTTGTCCGTAAAAAACAACTTTGATGAATATGTTTGTTGTTGCCTTGTACTATGCTGCCTTATTTCATTAGCTGAGTGAAGTAAATTTTGACTCCAAATCATCTGGTAGCAGTGACGCTGACTATTGACTTTATTTGGTATTTCAGTTTTGGAACTGGAATAATTACATTGTTGTGCTTTCAATAGTTATAACTCACGTCCACTAACTTATGGAGGATCAATGAGAGAAAACCTTTGATAATATTGAACTCTTGGTGCAGTTTATTCCCCTATGGGTTGTGTGCTAATTTATGTTAGATCCTTGTGAGGGCTTTGACTAAATAAAGGAAAAAATGGAAAAAGAAAAGGAAAACTTGTGTTGAATAAGTGTCGTACCTAGCATTTTAAGTGCAATGTAGTTATAATAAATTCAGTATATCATATATTAAAATGTATTTGCTATATAGTTTACACTATTGATTCCTTCTATTGCTTTGCTTTCCACTTTTCTTGTCATCTGGAGTTTATCTTTCTTTGTATTAGAGTTGGCTTTCCAACTTAAATGTAACTATCCTTTAAGGATTTTGTTTGTATTAATTCTTCTGGTTCTATTCTCCATCTTTTCCCTTCACGAAGTTTGTCTTATTCACATTGAAGTTGCTTCTATCTCAGTTGGATAGTGGATTGTACCATCTTTTAGCTTTCTTAGGGCTCAGTAGTCATGATGCCATCATTACATCATTAATATAAATGTGCTAGTCTAATGTAGTTTTCCTTGTATTGATTCTTTCTACTTTTTTGTACTCCAACTCTCTTTTTTTCAATCACTGCTTGTCTCAGCTCCTTTCTCATTGCTGTAGGCAATTGATCATATCATTAATTCTGCGGCAAAAACAAACTATATGTCAGCTGGCCAAATTTCTGTGCCAATTGTCTTTAGAGGGCCTAATGGTGCGGCTGCTGGAGTTGGTGCCCAGCACTCTCAGGTTGATTTTTCTTTCTTCCCCTTTTATTCTTTTGCGGGTGCGTGTGAGCTTGTATATTCATATTATGTTTGTTTCTTGTATGTTGGGAAGCTTTTACGACCTAAAATTTTTAGACTTAACTTTAGATGGTGCAAGTAAGAAATCTTGAAATGCGCTTCAAATTTTCCTGTGCAGTGTTATGCAGCATGGTATGGCTCCTGTCCCGGCTTGAAAGTTTTGGCCCCATATTCATCTGAAGATGCTCGTGGACTTCTAAAAGCTGCCATAAGGGATCCAGATCCTGTGGTGTTTCTTGAAAATGAGTTATTGTAAGTAGTTAGTGAAAGTGTTTATATACATGCTAAGAAAATAATTAATAATTATGTGCACTGTTGCCTCAGATATGGTGAATCATTCCCTGTTTCGGCCGAGGTCCTTGATTCTAGTTTCACCGCTCCCATAGGAAAAGCTAAGGTGACTTTGTTGTTGCATTTTAATACATTTAAGAAGATAGTTTCTGTTTTTCTATCCTTCTTCTGTGTGTAAACTTTTTATCATTCATTTCTGACTTATGGTTTCCTAATGTTGATAGATTGAGAGAGAAGGGAAGGATGTGACTATTACTGCTTTTTCAAAGATGGTGGGCTACGCACTTAAGGTCAGTGTCTTGTATTGTGCAGTTATTTGGATCGTGGGGTTTGGTTGTGATAGGTATCTTGTATTTACTTTACTAAGAAGATCTTATAAAAAAAAACTTTACTAAGAGGAAAATAACAAGTTTACCACCTATCTCGCTCATGATCAGTTTGAAGGGTCATCTATCTCTCCTACATTACTTCAGACTCCACAAAAACAACACACGTGCCCAGACACAAGAACTACTTTATTTATAAGTAAAACAGAGCATAATTGACCAAGGTGTTATATCTTCCTCTTGAAACGTTTTCAAAACATAAAGGAACTAACTAAAACTGTTCACGGAAGTTATCAGGCTGAGACATTCTCCTTACCCTTTCTCTAATAAACTTTAATCACAAGAGGCCTAAAAGGTTCTTATTTTTAATTTTTTTAACTTAATTTGCTATGTCAAGGACTATGTCAATCTGTGAGGTAATGATAAGTTCTTTGGTGGGCCATGGGCGAGTGTGATTTGAAGTAGAACTCTCTTGAATATGTATCACTGGACTGGTTGGTGAGAAGCAATTATTTTAGTTGTGACATTTTTATTACGTTAGATATCAAGGAAAATTTATTCAGGTTCCAGAATATTCCTTATGCACTTGATGTAAACGGTGATAATTTTTCATAATGGTGCTCTACCGATTAAAAGTCTGGATCTGAAGATCGTACCCCAAGATGCAATATTGTTTTCTTGGCAGCAGCTTTTAGGTTGGAATAATGGGCAATTAAAATATACTTTCCTGGGTGGATATCATCATATCTTTGATACACATGTTTAGTGGAATTTATAGTTTCTAACGAGTTAAAAATTTCTCTCATCTCTCCATCCATTATTAATTCTTGCTTGGATTATCAGGCAGCTGAAATACTTTCCAAAGAAGGAATTAGTGCTGAGGTAATTTTTTCAGATGGAGTCTTCATCTTTTAGATGTTTGTACGCTGATTTTGTTTGGTTGATCAAAAGTGTAATAACCTATCTTGTCCATATAGGTTATAAACCTCCGCTCTATTCGCCCACTAGACAGAGCAACAATTAATGCTTCAGTGAGGAAGACAAGCAGATTAGTTACAGTTGAAGAAGGGTTCCCTCAGCATGGTGTTGGAGCTGAGATCTGGTTTTTTTCTCCCTCTCATGTTCACTCATCTTCTTGATTGATTTTGAAGACACCCTGTTAACTTACAGTGAATATTTCTTTTTATACAGCACATCTGTCGTCGAGGAAAGTTTTGGCTATCTTGATGCACCAGTGGAGAGGATTGCAGGGGCTGACATTCCCATGCCTTATGCAGCCAATCTCGAACGGATGGCTGTTCCTCAGGTTTATTTCCTTTCCTCATCCTGAAAATTTCTCTACTTTCAATAGCGAAAGAAAGAAGAAAGAAACTGTATATTGAGATTTATGTTGCTGATCTAAATTCCCGGTTTTCGCTGTTTGATGGTAATATTTGTATAGGTGGAGGACATTGTTCGAGCAGCAAAAAGAGCATGCTACAGAGCCGTACCATTGGCCGCAACTGGTTGATTTTGCCCTTCCAATCTGGAATTTTTTTTCCATCTTAGGGTAAGATTCAATGACTTCATTGTCCCTTTCAGTTTCTGTTCCCATTCCCTCATCCAAGAAGAAATTTCAGTCTTCCCTTGTACAATAAAAACCTTTTGATTTTAGCCGAGACATTTTACAACCATTCCTTCAACGGGCATGTCCAATCAAACTTGGAGATATTTTTATGAGCAAAAAAGAAAATCCATTTCTTGCCAAAATTAATCACAGAACATTTGACAGTGGTAAAATAATAAGTGGCTTAGCAGATGCAGGAGACTGTAGTGTACATTGTTTCTGTGATGGCGTCTGGTCTGTGAGTTGTTAAAATAACTTGGGAGAACATTGTCGAAGATGGGAATTTCATTTTTTGTCAACTCTATTCCATAGTCAGATAGATTATTCCTCTTCTGCTCTGCCCAAATTCAAACCTTTTGTTTGTCATGTAAGTTTCAATCTTCCCTTGTTCTTCGTTTTCCATTATGTCAACACCAAATCAGACCTACTGCCTTCGAATATAAATATATATATGTATGTATATACTATTAAATTTCTTTACCATTGATCTTTTTAACATGCATACATGGTTTCTGTGTTCTTGCCTCTTGGTTGGTATAAATTGTCCGTTTATGAGTATATGTTCAAATGCAACATATTTTATATTTATAAAAAGAGAAATGTGGGAACATAGGCTTTTTGTCATTGACTTTAGTTTCGTTTCAGTTTCTAAAAATATCATTGAATCTACCATTTCTTCTACTCCACAACCACTTAAATGACGAGCTAAATTTGTGACTTGAGAAACAAATCTCAATACACAAAATTAGCAATGCTCATGATGAAAATTTTGAACAAAAAACAAGGCATTAATGATACAATATTACAATAAATACACCAAAATGCTTTGTTCGAAAGCTTGGAACCCTTCTTGTTTTTGGTCAAGTAAGAAACGAAACGAAACAAAACAAAGTCAAAGTTGTTGAACAAAGAAAAGTCTGGTGTGCAAAATTTGTGTGGGGAGGATTCGGTTTCTATTTCTAGTTTCTTCTTATTTGCTAAGACCTATTGAATCTTTCACACTTTCTTCTCTCCATGTTCTTATTTCACATTACAAAAACAAATACAAATCTTAATTTACAGGTGATCCAAAGGAAGTTGGTGTTTTAATATGAATTTAACATTTGAATTAATTAGATTGCTCTTCTAATTCAAAACGGCTAATTACATTGACTTTTTGGTTTACATAGTTGACAATATGTTTCCATCACAAATAATTGAATTCTCAATTGATGATCATTTAAATCCTATTTTGATCCATACCTCTCATACTTATTTTGTTATAGTTCCAAAATTTCAAATTTATTTAGCTACGATCCCTAAATTTCAAATGTTATGTTTAAGTTCGTAAATTTTGTATAAACAAATTATTGTATAATTATTCTAAATTTTTCATTAATTTATTTAACATGAATTTGAACTCTTTTCAAAATTGAGCGCCCAATTGATTGGAGGTAGTTTTAGGTACTTACTCATGTAGAGATTTACCCACCATATTAATCAACAATGCAAATACTTCTTTTAGATTTCTAGTAAATAATTTATTGAATGTTAATAGCAACAACTTTAACGATGTTTTTAAATTTTGAAAGCCTTAACGGCACTTTTAAAATCCACCTTAAAAATTTAGGGTGTGTTTGGTTTGTGATCAGAAAATAAGGGATTAAAAACAAAGTTGTATTCTTCATTTTCAATGTTCTTGAACAAAGTTGAATCTTAATTTAAGAAGTTGTTCAACGTGTGTCTAACAATATATCTGTAAACTAATGGTAATTACCATCTAAATATTTAGTTTAATCTAAAATAACATTAATTAATTTATTAACATTTTTTAATAAAAATTGTATAATAATTATTTTACAATAATTTATAATTTATAATATATTATATGTTTTAATTTTAAAATAATAAAATTAGTTTATAAATAATTATTTATCAAAGTTTTTATTTTTTTAATTTAATGATGTATTTTAGAGTTTCAAATCTAAAATATGAAAAACTAAAAAAATAAAATATTATTTTATGTTTTGTTTGAAAAAAATGTGCAAACAAAACATTGATTCAAACACTTAGCAAATATACGTGGTCATCGCCTATTTTTAATAATCACATATATTTTGTCCTTGGTCAAATTAATTTTTTACTACATATTATATATAAAAACAAAATATACTCCAGTGATTTTTATGAGTGAAATGAAAAGAGATGACGTCTAGTTGGAGTTTTTATCTGAATCAAATAATTCAAAATTAATTTTCAAAAATACATATAACATGTTCATTTGATTCAATGAATTGTAAAACAAGAAACAAATCTTATACAGTCTTGTAATTAAAAAAAAAAAAAGAAAAGAAAACAAGGGTGTGAGAGGGATGATTGTAATGATGGTTGTTTTAAGGCCGACAACGTGGTATACAATGTTTGATCGGCTGTTGACTTTCATTCTTTTTTCAACCTGTTGACCTTTCAAATTTTGAACATTTGGAAAAATATCATCATTTTCCCTTTTTTATTCTTATATTTATATATACACACACACACACATATACTTTTCCTTCTTCTCTGAATAATAAAATAGAACAATACTTTATTGACAATTTCTTGGTAAATTCTGTTGTTGGAAACCGCTTTTTTTTTTTTTAATCCAATTTTCAAGAACTTAAAAAATGAGTTTTTTTTTATAAAAAATAAATTATAGATGGTTATTTAGTACGCTTGATTTTGAAAAAGAATAAAATATAATTATAACAATTAACCGGTAATCTCGTCTTCCTTTTCGTTTTTTATAAAATGAATAATCACAAAGTTGATAAAGATTTGTTAAACTTATTTTGTCACGGCTTTGAAATTTTTATGTTTTAATAACTAATTTTTCATTCAGAAGAAAATATTTGGTTGTCATTGATTTTTAATGTTACATCTATCGGACATTTTAAATTATAAATTTTTAAGACTTGAGTGTTTAGAAATACTAATCTTCCACTAAAACAAAATTTAATCCAGAATATGAAGCAAAAAGAAAAATCGAAATAGGGGAGACATCCAATTAAACCATAATTAAAACAAAAAGGATGAGACAACATCCTTTTTCCCACTTAATGATCATAAATATGTATAACCAAATTAAAATTGAGTTGGACCAACTTGAGTGAAAAAGTAGTAAATTCAAGAAATGAAAAATAATTGATAATCATGTAATAAAGAAACCCAAATGATTTCTCTCAATTCTCAAGTAGCTTTAAATGCATGTGGATTAGATATCACGTGCAATATCTTAAAAACACAAACTCGTTATAATAAAAAATAAAAACAAACAATAAATGAAAAGTTAAACTGCAAGTAAAAGAAGATACACGCTTTCCAACATACTTATAAAAAGTCTCCTTTCTGTTTTTTGGTTTAATTAATAAATTTTATCATTTTTCTATCTCCATCTTTTTGTGAAGTTTTAAATATAAATACTATTTTTGTCCTGGTTCTTGTGTTCGTCCATTCATTTTCATTTTTATCTCATTTATTATAATCAAAATTTTAGTAGACAGACCTACTAAATTTTCTAAAATTTAACCATAAATTTATATTAAAAATATCCATCGTGTATAAATATTATGTAAATATGGGTCTAAACGAATGTTTTGAAAGTCAAAAATTTTAAATGAACAAAAATTTAAAGTGTAGAGATCGAAATTGACATTTTCAAAGTATACAGGCAGAAATAGTATTTAAATCTTAAAAAAAAAAACTAATTGTGTGCTTCGACTTTAAATTGTACTCTATCTTAAACTTTTGTCATCAATATTAAATAATGCGATACTTTATGAAATATAATTTAAATAGAGCAAGACGATCTAGCTATCAATTGAAAAAGTTACAAATTTTGATAAATAAGCAGGTACCAATATTTATGTTTATAATTTACCTTGTTGATTAATATTATTTTATTTATATTTTAGTGGCATGACAAATAGTCCA